GCCAGCCCCTGTCTCCAGCCAGCCCCTGTCTCCAGCCAGCCCCGCACTCCTTGCCCTGCCTGCAGCCAGACCCTGCCTCCAGCCAGCCCAATGTCCAGTGGTGCCCTGAAATTCCCAGGGCAGTAACACTGCACACCTGCTTCAATGAGGGGGGCAGGGAGCAGCTGGGACCCAAACGTGTGCACACCCTAGGGCGACCAGATAGCAAGTGTGAAAGGGGGTTGGGGTAATAGGATCCTATATAAGAAAAAGACCCCAAAATCGGGACTGTCCCTATAAAATCAAGACATCTGGTCACCCTAGCACACCCCCAGGGAGTGGTGGGGACCCACACACTTGAAAAGGAGCTCATTTCTAGTTCAGGCCCATCTTTTTAAAAAAGAACTGTAGGTAGGGTTAACATACATACTTATTTTTCCGAAATCGCCGTCCGGGACATATGGTAACCCTATTGGTACAAAAAATACATACTGTGGCACATCCCTTAAATCAGAACTTTTTATAGGGAACCGGTTGCTAAGAAATGAAAGGCTTTTTTTTACATGGTTTGGTTTGTTTTTTTTTTAGTCATCCCTGCCGGGGCCCTGCTGAAAATGTTTGAATTGGGCCCTGCACTTCCTAAAGCCGGCCCTGCGTAAAAGCATGTATATTTGTATTTTTTTTTGTAAAAATGTACTGGGGGAGTGAGGGGGAGAACCACAGTTGGACACTTTTTAAGGGCAGTCTGTGTTTTATTTGAATAGACTAAACCAAAATGTTCTGAATAAATGGGGAAGAGAATTCCTATTTGATAGGACTATGCAGGTTTTATAAATGTGCAATAAAAACATTTGTTTTATTTTAGAGTGAAATTGCTCCCTCTCTGTTTTATTTTCCTTTGCTGTCAAGTTTTAAAACACTTCTATGTCTTGGAAAGAACAGAAGAAATGAGAACATTGGCCCACAAGATCATTTTAAACTTTCTTAAATTACAAAGATCGGAACTTCAAGAAAGCTTTGAGGCTGACCTACCAAACCTGTGCTAGTTCCTCAATGAAGAAAGAATGACACCTAGTGGCAGAGAGGTTTCTATGCTTTGTTTTTTGCTTGGTGGTGTGTTGGGGATTTTCTCTCTCTGTCTGCGTGTAAGAAGAGAGAGAAAATGGTTCTGTACAGTTTGTATTGTTAGCCAAAGGTGGTACTGTTGTTTCAACCCATCATTCATCAACATTTAACAAATCTGTCACTAAAGACTTGGCAACACTATAGTTTGTAATCGCATATTAACATGCTGTAAATTGTAGTGTAGATAAAGAAAAAAATATGGTACAAGTCACGTTCTATCCTAGGGTTAAAAATGGCTAGCAACAAACCTAGGGTTTAAAAACAACTAGCATAAACATTTATTGTTTGTCTGCACTACAGTTTTCAATCTTGTTTAACGTGTTAAAAATGATTACAAGTTACAGTGTAGCTGAATCTTAGTGTATCAGAGTCTCTTGAGTTCTCTTAAATGTAAGTTAAATAAGGGTGAAGCTAGCTGTAGTTTTTGAGTAGCTTTGAGCTGTAGTTTTTCTCCTGACTTACTTTGTGTCCAGGTGGTTGTGGGGTTTTTTTACTTCAAGATAAATAGTATAAGTGTAGTTGCACATTCCCTTTTGCTCTGAATTAGCTTTTCAGTAGGAGACAAATTTCAATAGGAGACAAATCCTTCCTGGTGGTTGTACTCTTTGTCCAGACGTACATCAGCCCATCTAGCAAGAATTGAGGTCTAGACAAATGGAGCCACTTGTAGAGAAGCTTTTTGTATCTTACTTCTGGGTGAAGTTCACCCACCTGGAGTACTGGGTCACCTAAGGCTCTTTCACCCGCCTGTCCTCCGCTGTACATATTCCAGAGACTTTGACACGCAGGCTGCTTATTTTGACAGGCCACCCAAGAGAAATTCCTTTAGAGAGCCCCACTTTGAACCCCTTTCTATTTCAAGTCGTTCTGCAGTTGGCTCTCTATATGCAGAATGCCTTCAGGAAACAGCCATTTCCAAGCACACAGCAGTGAGTAATTCACTTGGATTAAATTAGCAAAGAGGAAGGAGAAACACTGTAAGCTCCTGCAGCCAAACTGTTTATTCATTTGGGACTGAAATGTTTGAATTTCATATTCAGTTGCTCACATAAATCTGCATTATAGCAGAACCATTACCCTTTTTATAGTTAAGCTTCTGTTAGCATTTCCCTAGCAAAACACAGATTTATTCCAACAGTTCAAAACACAGCTGTAAAAATAAAAATACCTTCCAGATGGGGACTCGATGGGCAAATTGAAGATAGACATTTATAGGGCTAGGTTAAGAGTGCAAAATAGTAATAATTGGTGGAGTTCTGTTTGAATGCAGACAGGTGAGGATTAGTTGTCAATGACAGGGTGACTCACTTTGCCTGTTTCACCCTCACCTGGTTATTTAACTTTGGAGTTGGGGTTCACCCTCTTTTTCCCCAGTTAACAGAGTCAAAACTGAAAACACTCTTAAAGAAACCACCCTACCACTGTGCAGAGATAGTCACATACCATTACCTTTTTAAGGGGTGATGGTGGAGCCAAGGGCCTTTGATATTTCAACTTTGTGGCCTTAATTGTGTTTCATATTGTCCTAAATGGCTTGCTTTTGCAAGGTGGGATGGTGGTGATTCTCTTGTTTCCTAGCTACTCTCTGTTATCATCTAGTACCAAAACACTCAAGAGACCTCCGTTTTTGGTAGTTTCAAGTCTGGCTTGTTGGAGGAGTGGTGCACGGGGTTCTGAGATATCCCTAACGCTTTGTCTTCCCTGTCCCCGAAGTGCCTATCTGTTTTGCCATATAGGTAATTTCTCATCAAGTCTTTACTCCATGACCCTGCTAACAATATTTGCTGTTCACCGCCACTCTAGACTCCCTCATGTCCACTGTGCTATGTTGATAGTTTAGTAGAGGGTGTGTAATTTTAAAGACCCCTCTGTGCAAGAACTAAACCAGTCATACCCCTGCAAAAAGCCAGTTTGGCTGCGACCGAATAGAATATGATTGGGGGAAATCCTAATGTACAGAGTGCCATTGTTCGTACAGTCATGGGGATATTTGTCCCATTAAACTACTACCAAAAATATATGAACAATAGATCTCCAACTCCACACACAGCAAAAACCAAGTATTAGGAAATTAAAGGACTTGCTTACTTGTAACACTAATCTGCTTGAAGAGCCCAATCCAGTGTCCAGTGAATTCCATTGAAATCTTTCCATTGACATTGGATCAGGCTTTAAAGCCACAAACGCATAAAGGGAGCCTACTGACGCTAAAAAATCTGGGCTGTCACACAATTCTCTTCTCTCCCCCCTCACTCCCTACGTTGATTTCCCCAGGGTGCGGATGACAGTGACAGCCAACACCTACGAGTCTCTTTTGCCTTTGGGGGTTTGTCAGGCCCCTGGAAAGTAGCGAACAGTTTGTGTAGATCTTCGAAAAGCACATTCCACCAGCCAAGAATGTTGCCCTCCTGCCCCTGCGTTTTGCATCTCTTGATACTTGTTACAGAAATCGGACTCTTCGCTGCTGCTCTTTACAGTTCCTAAACTGTCTGTCATCGACTAATTTCCACAGCAACCAGCTGTGTTGCCACAAATACGGGATTTTGACTTGGTGTGGGGCAGCGGGAGGGAAAGGGGGAAGCTAGTGGGAGGTGAAGGCAGCAGCAACAACAATCATGTTTTCGCACATACTTAACGGACAACTGGGAGCAGCAGAATTGGCTGAAGAAGAAGGTCGTTCCGAATTTTCGGTGGGTTCCTTTCAGTTCTTTTTAACATGAATTTTAAGGTTCTAATATGTATGCACTTGGGACCTGATCCAAACCTATTAGAGAAAATGGGGAGACCTTCTGTTGACTTGGATCAGGCTGTGAGACCACATCCTGAATTATCCATACAAGCAAAGTTCCCATTCATGAAAGAAATACGTGCATCATTTCAAGTAGCGATTGGGAGATTTGAAAGGCTGATGGAGGGTGGATTGTTCAGGAAGCTCGGGCGGGCTCCCTAACGTTCATTTTTTGGCCTGTCCGCAAAGTTTTTAAAATGTCCTGGGTTCAGCCAGGCTAGGAAAATCTCTGCGAATAACCTTGCTCTCTGCATATTGGTATCTATGCTGGGACGAATTGCAAATTGCAAAACCAAACTTTTTAAACCAAAAGTGAACTACTTTGATTCTCAAAAGAATTCTGATTTTGGATGGGGGCTTCCTTGGATTGATCTCATTGTCACAGACATTGTAAGCAAAGGTTTTAAAAATAACAAAACAGAGTTGTTAAATAGTACTGTAGCATCAGATTTACTCCTGATCAGGCAAAATGAGTATTTAACAGGTTTCTTATATATAACTCTACTAATAGTAACAGAAAGTGAATACAAGCATTTTTTTTTTTTTGGTAGCCAAATGAAAATTTAGGAGATCTTTAGAGGAACAGTTACATTCTAATTGTTATACACAAGTGATCTAAAAAATAATTAAATTGGATAACATTCTAATTGTGGGTCTGATATTTTCATGATTTCACTGACTAGTAAATATATGCCTCTGATTTTGCACCTTTCATGGATGTGGAAAATGCATTTTTTGTATAAACTGACTTTCTATAAGAAAATTTCGCTAGATGAACAAAAATACTGCAGCGTTGCTCTTTATAGTTAAAATCCTGCATCCCCATCTTCTCCTTTGATGCTGTTCAAGATGCAGTTACTTTTTGAGAGCACAGAAACATGTTGCCATCAAATTGAATAATTTATGTGGTGGAATTTATCCCTGTGTATAGATAGATATTTCCTCACCCACCTTGTCTCCCTACAATGGACAGTTAAGGAGCGATAACCTTCAGAATTGCGTACAGAAGTTACTATCCTATCAGAAATTTCCAAAGATGCTCAAATAGAATAATCAATAACATGCTGCATTTAAATGTTGCTAGAAATATGAAGTGCTATTTAGTTTTCTGTGTTCACCTCACTGATTTTATAGTGCCAGGCTCAGTTTGCAAGAGTCTCAGAAAAAGCTTTTGCTCTTTAAAACTTACAAACACACAGGAAGACAAAACAAATAGCAAGACTTAATAATGTCTTATGGACAAAAAAGTAGCTAATCATCCTGTAAATCATTATGGGAACGGTCTCAAAATCTGAAAAGCTAGGGAGCAGTACAGAATTCTGTGCCGGAAGTCTTAGATTACCAGGTCAGCGTTTTTGGGGTGTGAATGTTGGCTCCAGTGTCGCAGTGCTAATGGATCTTGCACCTGTGTTGGCTCACGGCAAGCTGCTAAAGGCATTGTTGGCATTTCCGTCCCTTTCAAACAGGCTGAGCAGATGATGAGCAGCCCGCCTATTACAAGGAAAAATCCAGCAAACCAGCCCAGGAACATTGCTTCCCCAAATTCCCATCTAGGTACAATTTCTGGGACAGTTTCATCCCAGAATTCATTTACGGTGTTATAGGCGAGCCAGGAAACTGGAATGAGGGTCATAATTCCTGAGATGCCAAAAATCACTCCTCCGCAAAGCGTTAGTTGTTTCTTTAGAGCCGTTTTTTCTTCCCAGGCCTTGCAACAGTCTAGCCCACAACTGGAGATCAAGAATCCAAGAAGTCCCGATCCATTAGAGAGGAACATCAAAATCCTGGACACCCTGAGGTCCAATGGCAGAGCCAAGAAAGACTCATAGCTTTTACACTCCATAATACCTTCCTCTTGCATTACGCAGACTTGCCAAAGCCCCATGGTCCAGATCTCCATTTCATTCAAGTCCAGGTTGAGATTCTTCCAGAGTGGCACAAAAGTCGCAACGCAGGATGAGACCCATCCAAAGAATGAGAGAAATATTCCTCCCAGGTGAACCTTCGTGTTACAGCTCCAAGCCATGCTGGTGCTGTGTGAGTGAGCTGTGTGCCGGTCACGATGAATTTGGGTGTTTGAGCAGAAGCTTTTGGTATTAACTCTTTTGAAGCTGTGCTACAGAGTAGGTTTCCATGAATCTGTTCTTTCAGTTGACGGGCTGTTGACTGAGAGCTATTATTTGTTTCTAGCTTTCAGAGGAGTAGCGTGGGGGAAATTCAAACTTATACCACTAATTCCTGGGTGTGGCAACAATTATTTTCATGTTTTGTTGGTTTTACTGGATTAAAAAAAAAAAAATTACTGGCAGGAGTGCCTTCTAGCAGTCCAGCCAATTCAGTGCTGTGCAGTAGGGCATCAAATGATCAGCCCCTACCAAAAGTATGTAAGCATACATGAAAACAGCAGCTGTGGGACCCTGCAACTACTGCAGTGTGGGTCCCAAACAAAACGCACTAACATAGCCCAGCCCAGCTCAGCACTTGGAGGCAGATTCAGCTGCTGCCAACAGGCTGGGAGGATCTCCTGATCACTGCCGCTGAGATTCCAACATGCAAGTGGGTCTCCACCGTGCATTCAGCTACTGAGGGATGGACGTTGCGGTACTCGGATCAAGTCTGGTCTTATGCTTGGTCGTCAAGTGTTTTTCTCTCCAATCATTTAGTGCTCCTCACTTGGCGGTCATCTGGCATGGCTGGCCAGGCTTTTTAAGGTTAAAGTCAGTTCTATGAGCAATACTTAAAAGGCCCTCCGTTGACTTTTCTATCTGTACTCCCTATCCAGCTGATCCTGCCATGAATCAACTCCTCCAGAAGCCAGGTGTGAGGGCAGGTGGAGTGAGCAACCGAAGTGCATTTCACCATTGATGAAAAGGGGGAGAGGGAAGCAGAGTAAAGGAAAAAGCAGGACAGAGAACTGGGAGAGCAGATGTGGGAAGGGGGAAGAAGGGGAATGTGGAGAGAAGGAGGCAGAGGAACTGGGGGTCTGTGCCGGGTGGAGAGCAGTACAATAATGCAGAGAGGAAGAATGGAACTGGTGCAGTCAGATTGGTCTCAGACAACACATCTGAGAGGAGTTTTCCCTAAAAAAAGGTTCGGTGGGGGAGAGGAGGGTCTGGCTGTCTGTGCAGACAGTGTCACAGTGCACTAAAGTCTACCTAATTACAACGGGCAGCCAGTCCCATTTTGTTCTGGCCACCACTCCATACGCAAGACGGTTTAGCAAAAGACTGACTAACCCGCCCCCACCAGGCCTCAGAAACCCGGCAGTGAGAGGCTTGGCAGAGAAAGTACCTCTGGACAAATGGTAGCTCCAAGAACGACTGGGATGGGGTGTTGAGAAGAACCCTTGAACAGCTAGAGAAGATGTGGAATACTTGAGCCAAACACCTTCCTCCTTCCCCCCCCCCCCCTCCGTTAATGACTCCAGCCTGATGAATGACTCTTTATCCCGTTCTCAGAGGCTTTTTAAAGTGTTGGCCATTATTCAGTCATTAAATAAATATCAAAGGAGCTTGGCATGCCACAGCAAGGAATCAATTGTGGGCAGGCCTTTATGAGAAATCCCGACATTTGCATCTCCCGGGGCTCACTTGGCATGCAGAGGGGAAATGCGACCTGTTTGCTCAAGGCGGGTGTTGGAAAGGCTGCCGGCTGGGCAGCACTTTCGTAATAAGCGTAATGACAGCGATCAGTTCAACTGAAGTACTTTACCTTCAAGCAGCTCGAGGCCATTTACAAACTCTGGTGAATTACACCTTTTAATCTGCTCTAGTGGGAGATGGGGAGCACGTTCTGGGATCTGATGCCAGGGTGCTGGGCATGAGGCAAGGAACAGCCTTACCCGGATGGGGGAATGAAGGCAGAACGAAGCGAACTCACTTGCCTGAGGTCGCACCCCATGTCAATGACAGCTGTACATTCAGGAGTCCCGACTCCCCGTCCTGCTGCTTTAACCACTAGGGAAACTTTCTTTGATACATATACTTGAAAACAACTGTTTGAATTCATCTCTTTGTCTCACCGGTGTCGTGGTTTTTGTAACCAGACAGCGCCAGAGGGAGGGAGCCCATGGTCTGAGATCATTTAAGGTGAATGGGAACCGGCTCCCAATCAGAAAAATGTATCTGTTTGTTTTTGCATTACTCTATTATTGGTCCCACCAGGTCCACCCTCCCCTACCCAGCAACGACTCCAGCCTGATGAATGACTAGTTAGCAATGGTCACCAACTGTTGCTTCCAAGGAAGGCAAAACATCCGTCACACTGGTGGCCACCTTCTTCCTGCCCCCAGCTGGTGAACGGCTTCTGGCTTGATGCTGTGTCCAAGGAGATGGTGGAACTCCATCATCTATGGCGGAACCCTTCCCCACTCTTCCTCCAGAGGCTGCAGAATCTGCCCTGCCACTGGAAACACTTGTCCATGTCCTATTCATAGGGTCCCAAAGAGCCAGCTTTTTGCCTTTGAAATACCTCAGGTAGCAGCAAATGTCAGGCAATCTAGAAGGGGAGACCACAGTGTTGTGGAGCCCCAACCTTCCCTTCTTTCTCAGTGGGATCCCAGAAGGTTCTGTGAATTGCAACAACATCTTTGGACTTAAACCCTAATGGCACGCCACATCCTCAGGAAATGCTTTGCAAGCATTGATCCTCACGACAACCCAGTGACTGGTCCATGTTGTCATCCCCATTTAAGGGACAGAGCAACTGAGACACAGATTGGTGCAAATCTATCCCAGGAGTTGGTGGCAACGCTGGGATTAGAATTGAGGAACTCCTAGGTACAGGACATGTTTTGCTGCTGAAATAAAATACCCTGTTGTTTAAAAAATAAATGATGGACTACGTCATAGGGAAGGTCTTAAGTTTCTGTTTGCACTCACTCCCCATCTGTCCCTCCGTGCACAGATATATAAAGGGAACACAATGTCCAGCTTTTAGAATTCTTTCTTTATTGGGGGATTAGTAACTCTAATCTCTCACTCATCTGCCTCCTTTGTTATCAAGAAGGATATTAAGGGCCAAGGCTGGTAAATTACTGCGTCTCCTTCACTGTGGTGGTGGTGTTGGGGATACTGTGGTCTTCCAACTCCAATTGAAGGATTGGAGTCCTAGATCCTCTACCGCTTGGATTTACAAGTTGTGTCAGTGGTTCATGTCTGGTTCCCCCTCCAGTACCTTTGTTTTTAGGTGTGGATGGTGGGAAGTTATCTCAGCACTGAAAATCCACTTGTGACTGGAAGTTAGCCAGTGGAACTGAAGCTCCCGGACTGGCTCCCATGTTGTGTTTGGCACACTGAAGCCATTGGGCCTGCCTTTGTGAGGTGTTGGGGGCCCTTTGCGGGCTGAAGAGCACGCAGCATCTTGCAGGCTCAAGCCTTTGTGCTGCAGAAATTCCGAAGGGAAAACTCGGCTAGCTTAGCTGCCGCTTTGCGTTGGATTTTCAAGGGCTCAGCAACCACCACTGGGGCCAGGTTCTCTATGGTGCTCAGTCCCCAGCAGCGCCCAGCGTCTGAGAGTTCAGCACCCAGCGCGCCGAGCTCCTTAGACAATCTGGCCACTTACGTAGGACCCTAAATGGGAGCTAAGCTCTTTTTGAAAGTCTGGCTCCAAGCGCTCTTGTCCTTCGGCTGGTACCGGTGGCTGCTATTTGGTAACTGCCAGGTGAGTTTGGCATTGGTGCAAGCAGCTTGAAGGGGCCATGCCAACGGGGCGGTGAGGACTGATGCACTCTTCCCAATCCAAGGCACTGCCCTCATGCTCTAGATGCCTGTGCTGGAGCCATGGGAACCCCCACAGTAACAAACCCTTGAGCTGACAACTGAACCCCTCCGGCAAAGTATGGAGCACTTTAAAAAAATGTGTTTGTTTAGTCTGAACACTTGCTAGCTTCATTCTTTTGGGTAAATAAGCCGTTTCCTAACCTCCTTGGGAGGGTTTCTTTCTCCTCTCTCTCTCGGTTTGTTCTCAGTTGCCAGCGCCGCTGCTTTCCTGCTCCCACCAGCCTCTGCTGTTGAATGTGGGAGGAAAGCTTGGAGCCTGTGGCTCGGCCCTTGGCCAGCGTGCGGCACTGTGTGCTGAGAAGCAGTTCCTGCTTTCCCTAGATGCAGTCAGGTGAGGAGATGGCTATGGGGCATGTACTTGTCATTCTGCCTGGCTTGTGAGGTGTGACCTGAATCCATAAACTGCGGCAACTTCCGGCGGAGCATAGTCATCCAGCCTGAACACTAGCTGGCTCTGAATCCCCTCTGCTTCCATGGGAGTCCAAAGCCAAACTACCATTGGTGTCAGTGGCAACCAGATCAGGCCGTCTTAGGGGAATGCAGCTCCTCCACCCACTGCAGTCAGCAATGCGGGAGTCATTTCCTCCGGCCACTGGGGGAAATGGCTTTGGCAAGGGGGTTTCAAAGGAGCCTAAAGGAGTTAGGCACTCACTCCCTGGTGAATTTCAGCTGGATTTGGGATGCAAACTCCCTTCAGCCCCTTAGGAAAGCTCAACCTTGGTCACTGTCAGGGTTCAATTTGTGGGGAACAAAAGGCCAGGCACAGCTGGGATTGGAGAGGGAGTACAGGTCTCTGCAGAGATTCCTCCCCCGGCTCATGGGCACACACGTGGCACGTGTTTTGTGGGGAGTCAAATCCCTGCAGGATTTCTCAGAGTCAGGCCAGAGTGATGCTGCCCAGCTGGGATGTCATTACGTGCGGCTGAGCTCAGTGAAGATCAGAACCGCCTAGAGCATTGGGGGAAGGGGTGGAGGAGCTGCTGCCTAGAAGCTGAAGCACCGTGTTTGCTATTGAAGCATTGACGCCCCGTGCAGGGAACGTGGCCAGAGGCTGTGCTGGGGGTTCGTTTATTGGTGTTCTTTGGACTGTACAAACCAAACCTGAAACCCCAGAGAGGGGGCTGCTTAACTGGGGTCTCCTGGGATCTTTCCCTCTAGCCGCGCAAACTATGACTCTTCCCCAACCTCTACTAATGGCAAAATGCTCCAATCCTGTCCCTTTGGAGTGTCTCGGGGAGCAGGGGCTGCTGCCAGCCCCTGTCTTCCCCAAGGGCTCTGGGCGTGGCCAGGATCCTCCGGGGCACCATGAGGGCTGTTCACAAAGTCTCTTGTATTCTTTGCATGACAGATCAAAGGCACCAGAACAAGGACGTTCCCGAGCAAATCCTCCATACCGATGCATTGGGCGATGTCTTCTACTCCACTTGTGATCACAAGAACGTCGGCAGAGAGATCGGCTCCAGGTGCATCTCCCCCCCCCCCCCGGCCACGGGGAGAGGTAAAGGGGACTGGCCCGGTGCACGTACCCCAGTGACGTGTAAGTGCCATTGAACATGCATGGCGCATGAGAAGCCTGTTTCTCTTCATTTTTCAGTCCCTGCTGCCTGTCACTTCATTTGCAGCGTTGACATTTTGGCTCTTTGTCTCGCTCACCCGCCCACGCCTGCAGAGAGGGGCTGGCTAAGCCTCTTGGGGCTGTACTATTGCTGAAGAATGAAGAGAAGCAGGCTTCTCATCCTCCATGGCACCTCACTTGTCACTGGGGTGCACCCCCTCCGCAGTGCATGTAAACCCCCCCACCATTCTGAGCTCAGGGGCAGCCCTGGGCCACTGGGACCCGGGGAGAAGAGGGGAATTGTTGGCCAGGGCGACGAAACCAACCCAACTATCTCCCTCCTCCAAAAGGCACCTTCAGCGTTCACCTGGGACAGCTATAAGGGACCTGGCCTGGTGTTCCCCTGGGGATGGCACTGTACACCCGTGGCCCTCTTTAGCTCCCTGCTGCACTGTCAGCATTGGGTCTGTGCCCAATTTGTGGTGTGTGACTTGGGATCTCACTAATCCCAAGGGGAGGAAATTCTGCATTCTCTTCTGGCACAGGGCCATGGGGCCTGGGCTTGGCAGCTGTTTGGTTAGAGCAAATGTCCTAAGGCCCAGAGTGTGCGTGCGGGGAGCGCCGGAGGGGGAGCGGTTTCTCCTGATCTCTGCAAGAGATTCCTGCTGCTCTTTGTCAGGGCTTGTCGAAGGGGAAGCAACCCCCAAGTTGTCACTGGGCTACATCTGAGAGCAACTTGGGACTCACTCTCTGCCACTGACATCACAGCGTGGGTCGTTCCAGCGCTACTGGAAGGAGGCAGACCAGGAGACTGAATCCCTCGGCACCCGTGGGACAGTTCCAGCACAGACAACAGCAGTGCAAGCTCCCACCCCCTCTTCCTTCCCCCTGCCCCTTGCTAACGTGACCTATCCCTAACCCGAAGGCACCCCTCTGGTGCGAGAGCCGTCTCCCTGGCCCCTTCTGTCCTCAGGGCCCCCAGCCATGCCACGGTGCGTGGGATGTGGACATGTGCTCTTTGGAACTGGATTTCACTTCACACAGGCTGCTGAGCAGCTAGCAGATGGCGGTGGCGACTTCCAGTTGCTACCGACCTGGGACGAATTTGACTTACTGAACACTGAATCCAGCCAATACATCCCAGGCCCGATCCCTGGAGGCAGAACACTCGGGATTGTCGCTTACTAGGAAACATGTTACCCAGGACTGGTTTGTTTATTTCCATGGCCTCCTTCATCCCCATGATCCTAAAGTGCATGCAGGTCTCCGTACTGTTGTTTGGGAGGGTAGGTTTAAACTTTAAACATACCAGCAAGGTATTAACCCGGGGGGGGGAATTGTATTGTTTTCCAAACTGACCTGTAAATTAAGAATGCATTTGATGTCTTCAGACATCGTTTACCTGAACTCTGACTGCAAGTTACTAAGAGAGATTAAACTACTGTATTAATAACCCTCGAGCCGTTTAAGGCACTGGCTAAGCAGTTATTTATAACCGGGATGCTACCTGTGCTATTTTTAACCTTCTCTCTGTAGGGAACTAGGTTTAAATGTAGCATGTGTCTGCTTTTAACAGCCCCGGTAGCTTACGCTGCACTGAGGAGGTATTGATAGGCTGCAAGCTGTTAGTTACCAGTACCAGACAACACAACACGGTGGTGTTAGATCCTGAATCATTAGCAGAGTCGCTGGACAGGCCTATGCTATGGAATCGCATGGTTGAATGAAACAGTCACAAAATGTCAGGTCTTTGTTTATGGACCTGATGAGAGCTGGCATTGTGGGGGGAATTGAGGGATTGTGTTTCTTAGCAACAGCTGACCCCTCCCACCCAAAGACAGAGAGGGAATATAGTCCCTGATGGGTGGCATCATGAATGTTAGAGCAGGGAAAATTCCCCCTTGCAGAACTCCTTATTAGAGCTGGGAATGCCTTCTAGTCTTTGCCCTGCGGGCCAGGGGCTTGCCCGAGCTATGCTTTTGGTTAGACCACGTACTAGCACAGCCATTGCCCCGCGACCCCCCTCTAACTGCGGCTTGTTACTCACCTGCTGCATCTTGTTTTTAACTGAACTGGGAGCTCTTTGGGGCAGGGACCGTGTCCTCCTCTGGGTGGCGGAGGCGCCCATCCTGGCCAGGGCTTCTGGGTGCTAGACAGTACATAGTGCTCCCTTCAGGGAACGCAAGAGCTGTGTTGGGGAATCCCAGAGCAGGAAGGGGCTGAGCCTACAACGCCTTCTCAGGAGTGGGTGACTGGGGCTACCTGCCATGCTGTGACCCCGTTTGATCCCCTATTAGAAACCGAAGAACGGTTCTTTCCCCAGCACTCCTTGTCTCAGTCCTTTCCCCTTTCTAGCACCGTCCAGTGTCACAGGTAGGAGTGCGCGGAGCTCTGCGGTCCTGCTGGGAGGTAGGTGTTATCCCACAGTTCACATATGGGGAAATGTCGGGTAGGCTTTTCCCAAGGGTTTGTGCAGCACCTAGCACAGTGGGGTCCTGGTCCAGGAATGGGGCTAGTAGGTGCTACCACAGTACAAACAATAAATAACTGCTAATGTCTTAGAAGTAAAACCGACGAGTCCTGTCTCACAGTGCTTTAGCCAGAACTATCTGTCGGCTGTCTGTCAGTGCGGTGCTGGGCAGAGCCGGGCTCGGGTCCTTGGGCAGGGGCTTAGGTAACGTTTTGCTCCAAGCCGGCGGAAGGGGAAGCCCCCTTCTGTGTGCTGCACACGCTGGAGCAGAAGCCCTGGGAGATTAACCCTGCAGGCTCCAGCGTCCCCCAGGCAGCATGTCTCCTCCTTGCCCAAGCCTTCCTGATTAAATCATCTTGAGGTAATTCTGCGTGTCATTGAGACAGATTAACGGGTGACCTTCTTCTCCCAGAATGGGATTGGAAGCTGATGCTGAGCTCCCTTACCCTGCGCGCTGCGAGAGGATTTGCATCCAGAACTGATGGGAAGATGCGTGGAGGCGGATGGGATTCCAAACCTTAGGCTGGCCCCAGCCCAGTGACGAGGCTCCGGATTGCGTCGGGAAAGTTGGTGGGAGAGTTGGCTGGAAGGAGAGGGGTTGCACACCTTGGGCTCGCCTGTTCCTGCCCTGGCAGGGCACTCAGTTGGAAAGATGAGGTAGGTGCATTGCTTCCCAGGAAGTCTGCAGGCTGTGGGCTCTGCGCTGCTATTGCATGGTTACTGTAGGGGTCCTCTTAGCTAACACCAGTCTGGGGGGATTTGTCCCAAGGAGAAGGTGCCAGGACGAATGCCTGAGCCGACCTCTGTTAGGAAAACTCAAGCAGATCTGTAACATGAGTCTGTTCTGCAATGGGAGTCTGGGGAAGGGAGCTGCACAAAGCATTCGGGGCGCTAAGTGTCGGCCAGAGGAAGATGATGCATGGAAGTGGGGTCCACTAGGCAAGACAGAGTGGTTTGCATGGCCCTGTGCAGCAGGGATGTTGTTAAGCCGACGGCATCACCCTGGGAGACACTTACACAAAAGGCTTGTCAGACACCAGTCTCTCCAGTGTCAGCCAGTCTGGCCTCTCTGCAGTGCTGGAGGGAACGTGGATTGTCTCTAACTGATGGGCAGCTAGACTAAACTGCAGCTGGCTGCTGCCTGGAGGGAGATCAGAGGCAGAGTCACCTCACCCCTGCAATCTGGGGCCCAAACTGCCCTAACTCAAAACCACATCGAGGAGCAAAACCAAAAATTCCCCCGTTTGGCCATTTCCACCTGCAGCACTGCATCCCTTGACTGTCTGAGTGACCAGTGAGTGCCTGGCTTCTGTGGGGTGCAGTGCAGGGACACCACCCCTATAATCCCATCTGATTCTCTGCCAGGTAGAGGCTATAGGACCCAGGTCATAGGCAGCATTGAGTCAAGATAATAAGAGAAGCTGGATATGAGTCAACAGTGTGCTCTTGTTGCCAAGAAGGCTAACGGCATTTTGGGCTGTATAAGTAGGGGCATTGCCAGCAGATCGAGGAACGTGATCGTTCCCCTTTATTCGACATTGGTGAGGCCTCATCTGGAATACTGTGTCCAGTTTTGGGCCCCACACTACA